CTTACAACGTTAAAACCCGGGGTTCGATTCTGTGGGTTTGCTCTAAAATAAACAACTCGCTATCTTAGAGGAGGGGGAAAGCTATGCAATTTTAGTAAGTTCTATCCTTGTATAGAAGGTAAAATATACAGTTAAAATTTTCTGTTTTACCTCATTTTATTTTATACATGCAGTTATTTTACATCTAACCAACGTATTAGACAGTTTGATATTTCGTACTTTTTGTCCATCTTCGCTTTGTCTCGACTCACCTGTATTAACTTCATGTACATTTAATTTGAATGTGTGTTATTCACTGCAAACCAGAATTCGCAATCTGAGGGTAGCGGGTTCGAATCCCCGTCCCACCATACATGCTTGCTCTCTCTCAGCCGTGGGGGCGTTATTACGTGAAGGTCAATCCCTCTATTCGTTGGTAAAAGAGTAGCCCAAGAGTTGGCGGTGAGTGGTGATGACTAGCTTCCTTCCCTCTAGTCTTTCACTGTTAAATTAGAGACGGCTAGCGCAGATAGTCCTCGTTGTAGCTTTGCGCGAAATTCGAACATACTAGCAATTCAGATAATTCCGATCTACCGGACGTCACGATAACTTTATAAATGTGGACTTCAAAATTAATTTTCTGTTTGGACAGCATTCCCTATCGTGCGATGTTGCAACGACAACAAAACAGTCTCGAAAGTTCACTTTGCTTTTATTCTTACCTCTTAAGTACGATTTTTTATTTCATTTCATTAGTGTAAATGTCAACCGTAAGGTGTCGTGGGGCGTATGATTAATTGACTAAGAACAGAGAAGCTCAAAAAAATTAAACTTTCCTGATAATATTTATGACAAGCAAACTTTTTTGTAGAGTGTCAAGATGAAATATTGGAAAAGTGCGAAAACTAACAATTTTAAGATGTCTAAAATATTTCGAAGGAAAAATAGTTTACAGCTGGTTATCTATCACTCATTTGTTTATTTGTCTCGTAGAACATAAACTGATTCTAAAATATACAATGCGTAAAGAACAGTGTTATAGATTTAAACCTTTATATACTAATATTCTTAAAATCACATTTAAGTTAATTCAAAATATCTCGGAATTGAATTTTCAAAAATAATGTTCCGAACAATTTAAAGTTTATTTTCATTTGCAAATTGTTTAACTTTTCTTCACGGGTTCGGATCCCCGTCCCACCAAACATGCTCGCCCTTTCAGCCGTGGGGGCGTTATAATGTGACGGTCAATCCCACTATTCATTGGTAAAAGAGTAGCCCAAGAGTTGGCGGTGATGAATAGCTGCCTTCCCTCTAGTCTTACACTGCTAAATTAGGGACGGCTAGCGCAGATAGCCCTCGTGTAGCTTTGCGCGAAATTCAAAAACAAACAAACTTTTCTTCAACTTCGACAAATTTTTAAAGTCTTGAAATAATTCACATTACTAAAGCTGAACGTTTTCTTCATTTTCGTGTATATTATTCAGATAAATTTCTTGAGTACTTCCAGCTAGTTATCTTTCACTCGTTTCTTTATTCCTCTCGTTCTTACAGAGTTTAGCAAAAGCTACTTCACACGTCAAGGGCCATACTTAAAGATTAGATTTCCTTAAATAGTCTTTTGAAATTTTTGGTTTCTGGGGTCTAGGTAACTGAAAATTTAACATTTCTTCTGGTGGCCAGGTGGTTAGGGCGCTCGAATTTTAATCTGCTGGTTGCGGGTTCGAATCCCCATCCTACCGAACATGTGACGGCCAATCCTACTATTCGTTGGTAAAAGAGTAGCCGAAGAGTTGGCGGTGGGTGGTATTAACTAGCTGCCTTCCTTCTAGTTTTTCACTTCTAACTTAGGGACGGCTTTGCGCGAATTAAACAAAACCAAATCTGGTGGCTGGTGTGACGTGGCATAGTGGTTAGCGTACCGGGCTGTGGAACGATTGTCCAAGAGTTGTGCCGCGATGTCACTGAACACGCCTCGCACTTTTAGCTGTGGGTGCGTTATAAAAGTGGTGATCAATCCTGTCATTAATTTCCAAGCTGGCAAAAGCCCTTGTGACAGTGGCTGCTGCTGACTAGCCGTCTCTTCTCTGGTCAGTAGTTGAAAATTAGGAACGGCTATACCTAAATCCTGAAGGAGGGGGTCTCGGACCTGGCTTTAGCATAAGATAAGGTGCTGTTTAGATTGAAAAATCCAATACCAGTTTCTGATATGGCATTTATTTTGTTTTTATCAGCTCGGCGTTTTGTTGGTGGACCAGCGAAAGAGTCAAGAAGCTTTGGCCATGTTTAACAGAGCATTGGACATCGACCCAGATCACGAAGTGAGTATTTCCTGGAGGTTTTTTATTGGACTAAAGGTTCTACAACAGTTAGGTCTAGGGTGTTCACCAAATCCATACTTATGCTCGTGATACTACAAATGTAGCTTTATCGTTTTTACCACGCGATGTAAAAAAGGTAAACATTTGCTAGAAACGCTAAAACGTCGAAAAAATAGCCAACCATTATTTTATCTAACGTGATATTTTTAATCATAACATTCATTTTGTTTTATCAGTTTCGCCATATTACAATATTCGGTGGTGCGCAATATAAATCAAATTTTCAAACTTATTAAATGTCCAAAATAAGTAAATCTATCTTAAGGTTGCGCTGTGTAAAGTAATTATTATTTACTCCAGTTTTATTTACTAAATTATAAATCTTTCTAATGTTGAAAGTGATATATTATTTCTTTTTGAAGTCTTTGGAAACTCTGTTGTTCGATACTTATGAGTTGCTATTGTGTATTTAATGGATTACTTTAGGTACTACAAAAATAACCAATGTAAAAACAAAGCTGAACGGTTAAAACCTAACGACCGGAAAGACATATACACGTTCATATCATTACGATGTCATGTCAGGATGAAGTTACTTAGAAGAGTAGAGAGGGGCAAAAGATAGTGTTTATTTCTTAGTTGCTATTTTTTCTTTGATGTTGTTGTATTTTTGCAATATCCGCTGAACTCGCAAAGTATCGTTTATTTCCTATTAATAGAAATCGTTAGTAAGCTCCGCCATTTTGATTCAAGAGTCCGATATGGCCCTACACCACAAACAGCTAGCAAGTGAGAGGTAAGAAAGAACGAGAAACTTTTTTTTTTCTCATTTTAATATAGTAAGTTAGATTTTTTTTAACTTGTTTTGAATCTTTTGTATCTTAATTTATCAAATGATAACTTTATTAATGAATTTGTTTCGCTGTGGTTCAGAAGTGTGTTTCAGTAAAAACTTGTATTAGGGTTAGAAAAAAGAAAAGAAAAAGGACAAACAGATGAATAGTAGACAACTACTGTGCTGCTTCTGTGCATTTTAGCGATGTTTGCCTAAGTGACCTGCCCTTTGGTGGGATAGCGGTAAGTTTACGGACTTACAACGCTAAAATCCTGGGTTCATTTCCAGGCGGTGAACACAGTAGATAGCCCAATGTGGCTTTGCTCTAAATTAAAAAAAAAGAGACAAATCTCAGTGACCTCTCTCGTGATCATGTATGTGAACCGAAAATTGTCGGTAAGGAGGAGGGTACTACATCACAAGATTCCCGTAATCATTATGTGAACCGAAAATTGTCGGTAAGGAGGAGGGTACTACATCACAAGATTCCCGTAATCATTATGTGAACCGAAAATTGTCGGTAAGGAGGAGGGTACTACATCACAAGATTCCCGTAATCATTATGTGAACCGAAAATTGTCGGTAAGGAGGAGAGTACTACATCACAAGATTCCCGTGATCATTATGTGAACCGCAAATTGTCGGTAAGGGGGAGGGTACTACATCACAAGATTCATGTGATCATGTATGCCAACCGAAAATTGTCAATAAGGAGGAGGGTACTACGTCACAAGATTCCTGTGATCATGTATGTGAACCGAAAATTGTCGATAAGGAGGAGGGTACTACGTCACAAGATTCGTGTGATCATGTATGTGAACCGAAAACTGTCAGTAAGGAGGAGGGTACTACATCACAAGATTTCCGTGATCATGTATGTTAACCGAAAATTGTCGGTAAGGGGGAGGGTACTACATCACAAGATTCATGTGATCGTCAACCAATGTGTGTCCTATGGGAGGCACTACACCCCAAGATTATCATGACCTAACAATCACACATCAAGCTCAGATTCACTAAGATCTAGATACAGACTCCGACATTAAGCTCTTGTCAGAAAAGTCAAACAAGGAAACAAAATTAGGCTAATGCCACAGATAACAAGAAATACACAACAAAAATACACATTATAGAACAAGTCCCGTGAATTTACGAAGAACAAGAGTTAGCTAAAGAAGTTTCAAGATGCAAACCTAACTACCGCATTGAGATGTTAAACACCTAAGTACCGCATTGAGATGTTAAACACCTAACTACCGCATTGAGATGTTAAACACCTAAGTACCGCATTGAGATGTTAAACACCTAACTACCGCATTGAGATGTTAAACACCTAACTACCGCATTGAGATGTTAAACACCTAACTACCGCATTGAGATGTTAAACACCTAACTACCGCATTGAGATGTTAAAAATACAGAAGTAATTATCATTACTGAAACGTTGTTATATCACTCATAAACTCAATATCACTAGTTGTTGAGATATCAGAGTGAATCGGCTAAACAAAACTTACACAGATATGATAATACACTTAATTTATAAAATGGGTTTGCCTATACCTAATGTTTTCTTAATCTCCTCAAACGATTTCTTTGTTTGTAGTTAAGCACCAAGTTACATAATGGGATATCTGTGCTGTTCCCACCACGGGTATCGAAAACCGGTTTTTAACGTTATAAACTCTCTAACTTTTTACCGTTGTGCCACTGAAGGACTTTCCTCAGACGAAAGCTATTATATATTATTCTCCCATATTGAATTTTTCTCACAGGTTGTATCTTATATAAAATATTATAACAAAGCCTTTTGGTTGTTTTATAGATAATACTGTAAGCTATGTTGTTAACCTAGACGTTTCTATTGTATGCTGAGTGTTATAAAACGCGAGTTAGGCTAGATTAGATGATTATTTATGATTGAGTTAGCTTGTTTTTTAGTTAGTTTGTTTTTTACTGTCAGCCAGTTAATCATTTCAGTATAGAAAATATTGTGCTTGTGTGTCAACGAAATAATAGACACGAAAAGTACTATAGATAATTAGCAAGTCAGTGTGTGTGTTTTGATCTATTTATGATGTTAGACCTATCATTTGGTAACCTTTAGGTTACTATGTACAGTTTGTTGAACTCGTACGTTTATTTAGTCTAAACAAATCTTTAGTTAACCATAAGTTCGTTTGTTTTATAGAGCAAAGCCATGTTGGGCTCTCTGCTGTGTCCACTGCTGGGAATCGAATCCTGAATTTTAGCGTTGTAAGTCCGTAGACTTACCGCTGTCCCATCGAGGGACTAGTTAACATTAAGTCGACTGGACTTTGCATTCTTGTTTGTTTGTTGTTGTTGTTTTTTACCAAATAATCAAAAATATTGTTGTTTCTTTATTAATAGGCATAAAGCTGCACAATGGGCTATTTTTTCTGTGCCCACCGCAGGAATTGAGCTACTCATTTTAGTGTTATAAGCTTTCTAGCTTACCGCTGAGGCACCACGGGAGCTAATCCAACAGACAGTAGACACGACTGTAACAATAACACCAATAGCAGAAGTCTAATCAGTTTCTTTGAAAGTTACAATACAACATTATTCAACAGTGGCATTCATCTACTGACCTGATGTGACGTTAATCTCGAAACTATGTTACTAACTACAAGGCTAACTGGATACAATATGCAACAAACCTTAAAAATCTACAGTCCACCAAAGCTAATAAACCCATACGCATTGACGATTACTGTAATTTATTTGATCACTGGGCACATTATAAAACCGGCAGACACGTGCGTGTGCATATTAGAATATAGATACAGCACAGGAATCACAGTAGCTGAGAACCAAACACGAGTGCCAAGAAAATTATCAAATAATGCAGAAGATTATACATATGACCCTCTCGTTAAAAAACAAATAAACTCTGTCAGAAATATCGTGAAAAGTGACGTTAGTGAAAAACAACAATTCCGATAATTTCTGTATATAACTTCACGTGTGGAAGGATTCCCGAAATTTCTCAAACGTTATAGTAACAGTGGTATAAACAAATACATTAAAACAGCACCAATTAAAACGTTTTTAATTAAAGACTTGTATTCAAAATGTATCTGAAACACCTAATGGGCAACTTTTTCTTTCATCAAAATGAACACAGCCGTACACAACAACATCTCATTATTCACAATCTGCTTTCCAGTGATAACTACAGATAAATACATTTAAGACAGCCGTACACAACAATGCTAAGTATTTACAATCTGCTTTCCAGTGATAACTACAGATAAATACATTTAAGACAGCCGTACACAACAATGCTAAGTATTTACAATCTGCTTTCCAGTGATAACTACAGATAAATACATTTAAGACAGCCGTACACAACAATGCCTTAGTATTTACAATCTGCTTTCCAGTGATAACTACAAATAAATAAATTGAACACAGCCGTACACAACAATGGCTAATTATTCACAATCTGCTTTCCAGTGATAACTACAATAGTAAAGACGAAAGAGTTCTATTAACATAGTAACTAACAAAGCCAGTTAGCACTATAATCATCAATACAGTCAATAAAGTTAAAAATATAGCCCTAGGCCAAGACCGTATACAGATAATTCTTCTAAAAAAGCCACTCAAAAACTATACAAACACCCAACACCAATCTATATCTTACATCAGAACCCATACCTTGCTGTTGGAAACAAGACAATGCTTATTTCTTTGTTTCCTATACTCGCACAAGCCTACAACAGGATTATTTGTCCTAGCAGTCCATAATTTTTAACTGATAGACTAGTTGGAGTACTCTAACCAAGTAATAGTATTTGAATGTCATTTTCATAACGCCCACACTGCTCCAAAATGCGGGACGCTATTTCGTGGTAACTGGATGCGAACCACAAATCCTCCACTTCTCAATCCGTCACACTAACCACAATCTGTGAGTCGCGGGTTCGAATCCCCGTCTCACCAAACATGGTCGCCCTTTCAGCTGTGGGGGCGTTATAATGTGACGGTCAATCCCACTATTCGTTAGTAAAAGAGTAGCCCAAGAGTTGGCGATGGGTGGTGATGACTAGCTGCCTTCCCTCTGGTCTCACACTACTAAATTAGGGACGGCTAGCGCAGATAGCCCTCGTGTAACTTTGCGCGAAATCCATAACAAACAAACTAACCACAAGGGAGGGACCTCAGTCGATCATATCCTAATGATTTACAAACTTTCATTAGATCAGTTATAGAAAGTTCACGCGTGGTTAAATGTCGCCAAATCCAATACTGTAGAACTACAAACTATTAAAATTTATATTACGTTCAACTCTAGTTGTACCTAAATAGACATACATAAAGTTTATTCATAACTTCATAAATGTCCCAATGTTACTAGATATATTTCAATATCGCTCGGAAAAATCTAGATAAAAAATAACATATTGTGTGATCTTAAATTTATTAAACCTGCTAACAAATAATACGAAGTATGTCTCCCACTATCAACATTCAACATCTGGTTTAAACTTACTTTGTGGGGTCGTCTAAAGCTGGGTATAACTATGCTCTATGTATCAAAATGTGTATTAAAATGGGACTGTTTTATTTTCGATGCTTTACATCAAACATCTTTCATTGTGAGTTTTGTTCATGAGCATAGTCTGACTTGGGCTTAATGAGTCAAATTAATTACCCACAGACTGTAGTAGCTTATTTAATCGAGCCTATCAGCTGCATGGTCAAATATACATAAAGTTATGTGCACATTCCGTGCAATGGCGGGAAGAAGAGGTCACGCTGGTCCAATCTATATAAATTCGTGCACGTATCCCGTGCAATGTAAGGGAGAAGAGGTCACTGACAGTCACTCTGCATCTGAGATTCCCGGTTTGCCCACCATATTGACCTAAAACACTGACCAGTCTAAACTGTACTAAACGAATAGAATGTATAACTAGCGCCATCTATCAAGAACAAATTTCTA